CCTGACTGGCCTTTCAATCGGATCAGAATAAGAACCAACCAAATACAGTCGAATGACAGGAGAATACTCGACTGTAGTTGGCTGGTACTTACATTCTGATCCGGTTTAAATTCTCGATGGAAACTAGGCTACTAAAGCGTAGTCTACAATAAATTGCCAACATACCGTCGCCAGTTGCAATGCTTCATGACAGCAATCATATATTGAAGATTTTCTTTCAATGTATTTTGGAACACAACGATGTTATGAGAATGGCTGTATTCAGCAGAGAACTAATGAATGGTCATTACTGTTAGTGATTCTTTAATATGATTGGTTCCTACTTAGGTCGATTCGCTTACCGCTTAAGTCTCACGTCTTAAGTTTTTCTATATACCATGGCCTTAACTAATTTAGTTTCCATTTTAAAGCTGGTAACAAATACATTTATCGACAACAAATTTTTCAAGTTTATACAGTAGCTGCAAAATAAAGAAATCTGAAAATCTCTCTATCTTGTAGTCGTGTAGTCAAGACGCTTGAAAAATTGTACAACAAATATAATATTTTAGCATTAAATATACAAAGATACCTTTCTCTTTTTGCATCGCGTCTATATTTAGAGCCATTTAATTTTAAATAATCTCTAATAATAAGATTCCATTCAAAAATTTATCGGGATTACATTTCAAAAGTATTTCATGTGCAAATATCGCCTAAACTGTCTAAAGAAATTGTACTTTATTAAGTACACGCTTTTTCACCACACATTCAAAATTTTAATCAATTAATTTGACTAATCTGCAAACTTTAAAGTTAATATTTTTTTAATATAAAAACAAAATGTAGATTATATGAAATAATCCATTAAAAAAAAACATCGATCCTGCCAGGATTCGAACCTGGAATCTTCTGATCCGTAGTCAGACGCGTTATCCGTTGCGCCACAGGACCCTTTTCGATACGTTATCGTAAAAGTTATATTTTACATGAATCTACACTTAAATTTTTTAATATATATACTTACTTATTAATATATATTAATTCATATTTATTTATTTATATTTGTTAATATCTTTCATTATTAAAACGGAAAAAAATTCTCCTGTAATCCCTATATTATTAAAAATTAATCTATAATAAATTCTTAATAATACTTTTTTTATTCTACGTGAAATTAATTTTCTTTATATTTCATAATACATGAATTAACTACAAAACTTTATGAATAATAAAAAAAATTCTATGCAAAAAATAAAATTTTACAAAAACAAATTTTTATATATATATGTATGTATACATTTATATTTTTCTACATATTCTACATTTTACGAACGATAATTACGTTTAATTAAAAACAATAAAAAATAAACATATATATAAAATATTAGAACTGTACATTACAAATAAATTGGTTTATTACATAAATATAACAGTTGATTTTATTGATACGCTTAGAAATTGAATTTAAATGAACTTTCAGTTTTATTACTATTACAAACAGCCTGCTCTGTACTTTGTAATGTATTTTGTGTTTTATGATCATCCGTTTGTCTATTAGAATTCTGTGTCCTGTATCCAGCAGCTTTTTTAATAAATATTGATTTCTTTTCTAGTGAAGCAGAATCAGTGAACTTAACTACTGATACAGTTTTGCTAAACTTTCGCTCGTCCTCAGCCATTTTCTCTCTGTAGTCTCCCAAAGTATTTCTCATTACTTGTCTCTTTTTTACTAACGGCGCAGTGTTACTCTTTAACAAATGTATATGTTTACTAAGTTCCTGCACTTGCTTCTCCTGAAGTTTGCCACCAGCTAGGCTCGCTTCCATTTGTTGTATGCACCAGCATAATTCTAATTCGAAACGGTCCTTCGCTTCTGGATCCAAAGCGCTTGCATTACTAGTGTCCGTTTTAGGAGAAACGTATGGTTCTGATACGCTCTTTTTATTTTTGTTGCGTTTGGAATTCTGAAATGAATATGACGTTCATATAAATCTATTCTTTTCAACTAAACTTGTACGATTCAATTTTTCTCTCTATGTTGAAAAGAAATAAGTAAAGATAAGCAATGTAAGAAATTTAGCAAAAAGAACGGGCTTCATATTTAACAATGCTCTCTCTCTCTCTCTCTCTCTCTCTCTCTCTCTCTCAACCTCGACAATAAACATTGTTTTTTAAAACAAGGGAACGAGGATTTTCATGAATTACCAGTGCAGATTTTGGCGGCATTTCACAACGAGGTTTATTTTAGCTAACGGCTTACGTAATTACAAAATCACAATATTAAATTTAGTTTTATATACGATTGAAATCTAAAACTAAAATATGCGACTATGAACTTATCATTCGACAATGCATAGGTTATGTTTGAATTTTGAACGTGCTATGGCGATAGTGTAGCCATCTCTTGTAGTACGTAAGAAGAAATAAAGCGATATTATACCACGAAGACGATCGATAAAGTAGACCGTCAGGCGAGTTTGAAATTTCAAATAACAATAAAACTTTGCAATGTGAAGCAAGCATGAATTTTTAATTTAAAAGTGCGCGAGGATTTGCGTATTTCCTTCAAATTATCACGTTTAGCAGCTACAAGGAATTTGCGTTTATTCTATCTTCTTTCCCAAACAAAAATCGCAAGGGTAAATTCTTATCTTCCGGTTTATCTGCGCAATAAATTTCAATAACGCTCGTGCCGTTGATCGTGCTGGAATGAAAAGAAATTGCAATTACAAGAGAGAAAATAAATTCGTATGTCGGTACATGCTGGTCAGTCTTTACAATTAAGGACGGACATACGGAAACGTGTGAAAGTAATTGTGCGGAAACGCAACATCAGAAAGCGACGGAGGTTGAAAAAGATTGGATTGTGTGTTAGCATGCGGTATAAAGGCGTGGAATAGTCTGCGGAGAAATTAAAAGTACAGCGGCCTCATAAAAACGAATCGTCTGCAGGAATTTGTCTCGAATCGTATAAATTTCTGATCTTCGAAATCAGGTGTTAAAGATTGAAAGTTAAGATCAAGCTTGAAGATATAATAATAAATCAATTTAGCATATTCAATTTGAAAATATGAAATCAATATAATATATTACAAATTTCAATTAACTTGTTAAAGCGTTGTTTTTCATAATTTTATTTCGGTACACATAATAAAAATTAATAGATAAGAATAAAAAGAAAAGAAAAAGGAAATCTTACAAACTTTCTGATTGGAAAAATTATATAAATATTTCTATATAAACATACAAATAAATGTACTACAAATGTATAAGTAAATTAATAAACGTGACTTTCTTTTTTTTCGATTTAGCTGTTTTTCTACAAGGCCTTTTAGGTTGGATTGTTCCACCTTTCGGTAAACTTCAGCTTGCTGTCTTACTCTCTTATGCTTTTACTCTTTTGTTTGTTCAATAGGTAAATCACCACATAGTCTACCTCAGTTTATCTGAAGCTGGAACAACCGGCCCTTAGAGAAGGAGAGATGTTTGTGCGTTTCAGTAAAAGAGCGGTAGAAATGTATAATGTACAAGATAGTATACACAGTATATATAGACGACAGGGTGACATTAATTCTTCAGAATATATTTACAAGAGCAGTACAAAGAATAACTCGATATTACACATATATATTCGTTACGTAGACTAACGAGTAATAGGTATAAGCAGGTGAACAGTTTAAATATTAATTGAGGCACGTGATAATAAGGCATTTCTACAGAGGATAGACATACGGTCGTACGCACGTAAGATAACATTTTGTTTTTTCTAAAAAAGAAAAGAGAAAAATAAAGAAAGAGAGAATTGATCATTCCGGGCTTCGTGACATATTTAAATTACATTACATCGTTCATCTGATTTATAGAGAAATATAAAGTTTGGAAGGGATAACAAACGGCCTGCGATCTATTTTGAATGTCTGCTTAAGAAACTTTTTTATCACTTCATAATATTAAAAGTTATATAAGATTATAAAAGCGGAGCTTTTACGTAAATCAGGGAATAGAATATCTATATCATTTAATAAATTTTTGTGGCTTTCAACAATCTGTATTAATGTTGAATTGACAAATTGATACTTTCGTAAATTATAGTGCCAGTAATAATTTCAAAGAAAACGATACAGATAATACAACGTAGTTAAAAATATCAAACAACGTCTCTTTGAGACAGCTTACGGTTTTTCATGTTATGCTCGGAACATTTAAACAGAATCTGCAAATTATGTCAAATTATTTGCAGTATATGTAAACTAGGAAAATTAAGTATTCTCTTCTTACAAATAAAAATATACTTTCATGGCTAAACACTTCTCTCAAATACAGTATATATGTTTTAAGTTACATATACTCGTACATTATTAAGATAACGAGATATGTCTATTCACAGATTGTTTTCATCAAATCATTTCGGACTTGATGTTGAGAGAATCAATTATGTCTATCTTACGTGTTTACAATCGTTGCAAATTACATTAGTGGACGTCACAATGAAGATTGGTATTCAGTGCAAACCAATTGTGCTACACTGAATAACATACGACTTTTATCTTAAAGTGTATGTGTATTTGTGTGTGTGTGTGTGTGTGTGTGTGTGTGTGTGTGTATGTGTGTGTGTAGTGTAGTGTATACTTTTGTGTGCACAAACGCGTGGTCGAGATCCCTAAAGTTTAGAACACATAGCTAATTGTTCATTTGACCGTCCAAAGAAGAGAGGATAGGTCAAAGATTAAAGGACACATTATATACAATGCGAAAGTCATTAGCCATCACAGATTGATAATGACTTTCTGTAAAGCATTAAAAACAAAAGAGAAAATTCTGTATATCTTAATTTGTCCGCTCGTGTCACCTGATTTCCGACATATTTATAATAAGTATATAAAATATCATCACATCGCGCGGTCCAGATTTAAGTACAAGATCGTTCTCTTTGTGCTATATATGTACGAAATAGAATTTCATATAAATCGACATAATTTTATATAGAAGACAATATAGATTACGTACTTAAGGTAAAAAGAAAAAAAGCATTGATTCGACGGCAGTTATTTATAGATTGTAAATTCGGGGGAAAAAAAAAACAACGCCAATACAATTAATTATCCTTTTCATCACTGTGAACGCACGTTTTTACAGAATTCTAGGATCAATGTCTTGAAACGGGGGCTTATATCTTTCGTATTTCAAATTGTATTTAGCGTAACATGTAACCACATACATACGACATCGAATCGCTCGCAAAAAATTGGTCTTTTGCAATCACGTATAAAGTGATATTCCTTAAGATACAATTATCTATGAGAAGAAATGCGCGTTACGCATTAAACATTTCAAAATTCTTTCTTATCATCGCGCCTTTCGAGATACAGATCCAGTTTAACCGAATTGGCGTAGAGACGTTGTGTTACAAAAATATCGCATTTGACGAAGAGATTTACACAAGAAAATTCTATATTAAAAATATATTACATCTTCGAGAGAGAAAACTGTGTAAACGAATAAAAATTACACGCGTATAATATACACAAATAACCCGCGGTGAAATATAACGATACTGAACGTTAAAGAAAAGATAATGAATAAATAGAAAATTATTTTTTAATGGCAAGATATATATATATAATTAAAAGTTTTTTCTTTAAATAAATTAAAATATCAGTGTATCAAGATTCCAAATACGACATATACTATTAATCACCGTCATGTAATATTGACTATTGATGTTATATTATTCCTTATATATTTTTCCTGCATAAATGTGTTAAATATTTCGATTATTATTCATAGAAATAGTTGTCTGTCTATAGTTTTTAAGCATAATGAAGTTGTTTTACTAAGCAACTTGACATGTGTATCGTGAAAGATTTAAAAAAACGCAATAAGACAACAAACTGATGTAATGTAAATTGGATTTTCACATATTAACAATATTACACAATATTATTTAGAAAAACACAGTTTAAATGAGAATCATTTGAATAAGCAACAAAATACATTTCTATGATAACAAACTTATCAAAATAATAATTGATATTTTACAGATCAAATTAAAAAAGATCATTAAACTCGAATGATACAAATCATCGCAAAGTATTACACAGCAAAAGCATGCGAGCAATGATGAATTCACAAAAAAACAATTTCAGATTTTCTGATTTAAATAGCACAAATAATATTATAATAGTACAAAATAAGAGAACTCACTACACGTACAAGTCGCAACAAGTTGAAAAAGATACAACAGGTGGATGGAATAATACCAAAATAAAATACTGCCAAATGTAAAAACCAAGTAAAATGTATTCTATGGGCAACATCGTAATAATCATATATCATTATGCTGATACACTGAAATATAACCACAATGTGTATGTGTTTACAATGTTGTATGTATGTGTGTGATGTACACAGAGCGTTATCAAATAATCATTATTTATCACTAACTCTGACAATGATTATACTGACCAATAATAGGCAATATGGTAGCATGGTCATATACAGATCAGTAATAATAACGTATAACAATAACTGGGTAATGTCGAGCACCAAAGGTATAACGTACAAACAAAGGAGTTTTGTAATTCCGTGTCCGCAGCGTATTTATGTCGTCTCCATGAGCGCACAAACTGTGTTTATGTACTCAAGTACTATATTGCGTGTGGCATTGAATGTGCATAAGAGGATAAAATATGTCTTTAAGATTTAGCACATAAAATTTCTCAATGGCTTCGTACTTATGTAACAAACTTGGCAAACATTATAATTATTATTACAAACATAAACCGAGTCTTTGTCTTCAACATTGTAAGTATTTTTTTTTCTTTCTTCCTCAAATATACTCTCCTATGATACTACTTAAAACATAAAATCGGTATTCCCTTAATTAGTCAGTTATGATGGCACTATATGAATTACTTTCCTTTATTCTCGCAATTATCAGCTAACGTAACGCACGACTATAATATTGTATGTTATTACTATTACACATTATTATAATAACTTTTATACATATATATCCACATATGCATACATCCGGTTGTGTATGCATGATGCAAATCTTTTATGTATGTGTACGTGTGAGTGTGTGTGCGTGTCTGTATACATACTGTTCTATTAAAAATTTATACATTATACAATGTAACTGTATTTCGAATTTAACTGTAACAGTACGATACGCAATTTGAGGAATTGTTGAACAACCTCCCTTTTAAACTGTATTATACAAATACGTGTATAACTACATAATAATGTTTAAAGTATGTCCCCCGTCACACTTCATCATCTGTTTACAGAGTGCATTTCAAAACTAAGCGGAAACTCAATACGATAACTATATGTTAAAAAATATATGAAGGATCTTATAACTTTTGGTGTGATTGCGTACGTATCAAACAGGTTATACCGTTTTCAGTTTCAAAATGCACAAATACAGATAGTAACAGTAAAATGACGATATCTCCTTATGACGTTTAAAAATGTGATGCTACTTGGCTTTACAGATATGTCCAGTACTTAAATCTGTATTTAAACTT